TTATTTTTTAGTTATTATATTTGTTATTTATTATTATTGTTATTTATTATTGTTAAGATGTGTATAAGAGACAGATATATATATATATATGTTAAGCCTGGTTTCCATTGAATCGCTACACAGTAGCTACAGCGTTTTCATTGCAATCCTTGCCGTGCGCGAGCTGTCCCTGACGCAATCGGGAACGCTCCGATCCCTGATTCAACTGACCAATCAGCGTCGCCAAAGGCGATATCGTGTAGCGATTTTTATGGAAACCATGAGGATTAAGTAGACAGATTCCTTTCTGCGAAAGTACGGTACTATTTCATCACCAATGCATATCATTCGTCGATATTCCAAGCAATGATCACGTTGGAGTGATGAACCATGATTTGGGCCATGCTGCATTGAAGCAAGGCGCGCCATGCGTGGAAATGGTCGCGCTACATCAAACACGTATCCTGCAGTAGTAATTAAAGGATTGAACCACGCGTCAAATTGAATGATCATTCAAAATTCAGGCAATGAACCGCACGCGGAAATAATAAACACCAAACTAAAAACCCACTCGTGGAAACATTCGTAGATATCATCATTTTTGCGTACGAAACGATATTTTGTGATCAATAATTTTAAAATTCATGCCTACCGTTCCTTACTGATCTTTAAATAATTATATATAGTTATATTTGTTTAAATTTTTTTTAAATCTATCAAATTAAATTTATGCCTTCATTGATACTTGTTGATGTCGTATGCTCTGTTATAGTTATTTTGTAGGCCAAGGCCGACTCTTCTTTGTTGCCTTCAACTGTAGCACATCGATAACGTCACAATCATCAACATATTATATTTTAAATTATGCTGCAATATGTTTTACTTTTTTATGACCGTATTATGATGTGTGCTAAATAAATATGAATGAAGGAAGATTGATTGGTTTTTGGGGCGAACACAAATTTATGAATTGGTGGATGAATACAATCCATATGATGATTATCATTAAAATGAGTTAACTAATAAGAATTATACTTCGATGTTAGGTTTTTAGACGAGTTTACCTTGGTATTGGTAGCGATGGCCTTGGAAATTGGTTTAACAAGAGTAGCGTAATTTAAAAATATGCTTATATATAACACTAAATATTTTAGTTCATTTGCTATGACCTTAATTAACATAAAGAAAGCACCGTAATACATTTTCAGGTAATAACGATGAAGGCGCTGAAGCATGGACGTCTGTTGATCTCTGGTTCTGTTCTATTAAGTTGCTATGACTGTGAAATACAGCACATCTGTCAGATAAGACGTTTAATACGCAATGGAGATATAACATGGCCCACATGCATTGCGCGGCGCACACTTAGGTCGACCGCGCCGATAGCCGACCTCCGGCGAATCATCATGCAGTCCGCAATGTGAACGCTTGCTCAATGCGAGGCCGTCTGCAGTCGTCGGTCCGTCGCGCGCACATCATCGTTGCAGTGTCAATGTAGTGTGCAGCACCGGATTGTAATGGATACCCTTTCGAAAAAAAAAAGCAGGGGATTCTTTCACGTTATACTGAAAATTCACAACCGGGGACGGCTGCCTAAGGTTTCCCAGGGCCCTGTCTGATTATTCTAGCTCTCTACTAGTTTTCTAGAACCAAAGCGTTATCCCGGCACTTTACTTTCCAGCACACACAGTGCTCTTCTTACGGAAGAGACAAGGGCCGTGTACTCGACTGGAATTGTAGGCAAGTTAATGTCAATGTCGTAAGTACTAAAAGCTCCTATGATCTAGGCCTACTCATTCAATCAAACTAGTGCTTTTTAATACATCTTACTCATGCCAAATGAATGTATGGTTTGGGTTCGGCTCTTGGACCTATCTGTTATTAATTGTGACGTCTGAGGGTTATTCTTTAATATACTGATAACAATAATGCAAAATATAATATAACAATTGTTAACTTAGACGATAAATTATGTCAAGTACACGAAAGAATAATATGAAGCTATTGACATCAGCGATAATGCGAAACATTCAATATAAATTAGAAATCTTAATAAAGATCTGAAGGCTCAAAATAATATCATATCATCGAATGCCTTTGAGCTGAATCGCCGAATAATTAAGTAATGTTTAAATACAAGAGGCAAATATCGCCTAATGACTGCTCTGTGCCGTAGCTATGACGTATGTCTATTCGAAAAAATAAACATAGCAACGTTAAACAGTGTAAATACATTGTTGAACACTGTACATCATTTCTGGTACGTAAACAAAATAAGCACGACTTTTTGTAATTAAGTGTTGCAAATTATTGTTTAATTATTTGCTTGATATGTTCCGAGTATCGAGCTTTGAAGAATAATGAGGGTCCATGGTAGGGTAGGGAGAAATACATAATGACATCGAAAATTATGGCTAGTGATTATGACCTCATCGCTATACGGCAAAGGCGAGTGTACTACATATCAATCAATCAATCAATCAATCAAACAATCAATCAATCAAACAATCGGAGTTATTTTGAATTTAATACAGGGCCTACTATTTGCATAAGGCCTATTTGTGCACAGTTTCATATACATATAGCCTACAATATTATGTACCCGTATATGTTTATTATATTATTATATATTATATAGGCCTCGAACAGGTAGATGTGTATAAGAGACAGATATATATATATATATGTTATATGTGCATATATATATATATGGAAGCTTTTACTTACCGAAGGACATATAAGGGTTGCGACTCCTTCACTAAGGCTATGCAAATCCAATTTTTTTCTACCTCCTGGTACAGTATTACCATTTTGATATTCTTCTGGGCTATGCCCATTTGAAGATCGCGCAGGCGATGATGACATATTGTATCAAGTTATTCAATGACAAAAAAACGGTAAGCCTGAGGGTGTCCCTTGAAGGATGGTGCGCCTTTCTGTCTAGATGTGATGTGTTGGACGCTGGTGTCTTTCTACCAAACAAATCCGATAAATCGTCCGTAGTATGTTTTGAGAATAGTAGGCCTATTTGATCTGTGTTCGCCTGTCGAAAATATATTCAGTTTAAAGAAATCAAGGACAACTCAAACGCCGTCCCTTGGGTTTGGTTCATGACATGAATTAACCCAAGCAGAAAGTGAAAATTGTATTTGTAAAAATCGCATCAATTAAACGCCGTAGTCTGCCTCGCCTCGGTAGCGATCTTTATCATCAGCATACGCTTGTCGCACGCTATTGGTGGTAAAGCATTTGCCACACATCCCTCCCGCCGGATGCACCTCGCAATTGTATTAATATATTCTACTGTACTCCATCGATGAATATCTTTGCTAGATTTAGCCTTCTCACAAAAAACAATCCACAGACAGCATCCGCAATATTACACAGTTTAATATAGAGTTCTTGTCTATTGTTATGTAATGTGGACTTACCGTGCTTTGATAAACGTTGCTGACAAAGGTCGGTCGATGAGACGAGGACTGAGCTATCTTCGCTCTCCTTCTGTCCGTCGTTTTCCTACGTTAAATCACACCGGTAACGGTCGATACTCATTCGTAAATTTTGTAACCAATTCTTATTTTGCAACAATATTAGCACCTTCGAACCCACGATAAAAAAGACAGTATTTACAATTCCTGGTTTCTTATGATGACCTATTGAGGCTACTAAAGCACGGGTTATTTTTAGACCTATTCAATGAAAATGTTTGATTTGGGGTTTTAACCGGCTTCTTTCGAATTCGATCAAGTGATATGTAACGCATGATGGCGCTATAACCATTTTTCTTTCTCAGAGCACACAGTGGTCAGTAGAAAAAATCAGATCAGATTATGGCATGCCTGTCAAACCCAGAGCACATCATAATGGACACACTTCTTTCTATTATCAAAATTACTGTATGTCTGCAGTGGAATAAGCCAGGCAAAGCTTTTGAAACCAAACGGATTGGAATTGATGCGTGAAAACGACATGCGAGTTTCTATATGGGTGAGGAATTCAAATGCTAGCCTGTAATTTACACGGCGACTGTCCCTCGTGGGTACGGTGTAATTCGACTGTGAAAAGTATATTGCCATTATGTTATTACAAAGATGCCCGTCCACTTTAAACACTTATCAGGGTGGCCCCGATAACAACTATAATTAGATTGCTTAGAATTCCGGCTGGTGAAGCATGTAGAGGCCTACTTTTCTCAAATTTGATTATTATTATTATTATTATTATTATTATTATTCTAGAAATCGGACCGGTCCCCTAGGGACCCACTGCTCTGCAGCTAGTCTGCAGCTGAATTGCAGCGCCCCCTGGCGATGATACTCTACTTACGTCCGCCGCACGACATCCCCACCGCTCTTTTCAATTCCGAAAAGACCCATTGCAAACTTTATAATTTGTAAGCCTATCATGACGTCATCATTTTGATTTCAATGTCATTTTTCTTCTCAAAAGCGAGAATATAAACTTTTGCCCACCTGTGCACTAGGCCTTATCCGAGAGGACTTGGGTCGGCAACTGAAACCCACATATTGAGTGTGATGCAACCCCGCACCAGAGATTATTATTAAGGTAGCGGTACCACTGTTGCCATACCACCCAAACTGTAGTGCCGCATCCAGCCTACGGATTTGGGGTTGCTGAAACCAATCCCCCATCATCCCCAGAAATTATCACCTGCATTGATTACAAGTTGATCAATCATGAACAGTTTTATCTGTAGGCCTACAGATATGAAAGACATAAAAATGTTATTTCTTCAGGTCCCACTACAACCAAATGAATGAAAATGTAATAGAATATTCACAAATTATGGGTTTCAGAAATCCTATTATAAAAGCCTTTCAAAATGTTTCTTGTCGGAGCGTTCGGGGGATTCACCCCAAACCCCCACTCGACCTCCAAATTTCAAAAGTCCATTTTTTTTTATAACCTCTTAAATCTGAGTCAAAACGTTCCTAGGGAATGTTGTAGTTACTAGCTATAGTATGCATTGCATATTATTTTCCAGCTCTTCAAGCCGTTCATTTTTAATAACTGTTGTAATTTGTTGGAAATTATCAGCTCCAGTCAGGCCCGTAGCCAGGTCATTTCAAGGGGAGGGGGTTCTCCGGGCGTGGGGTCCAGAGGCCTGCCTAAGGCCCCCGGTGGGGTTGGGGGCGAAGCCCCCGAAACCAGAGTAGTTTTTGTGTTTAATGAGTCTATATAATGTTATAAAAGCAGTTATGTTTTGAAAAAGATCTATGTAATAAAAAGGTGGTAATATAATAAAATTAGAAAATATTTCGTGAGTGGATTTCCCGTACGATTAAAAATCGTAAC